GTCACGCAGAGAACACGCGATCATGCAGGATACAAATGCACACTTCACAAGATCTCAACTAGATTCGACTAAGTCTGCAAGGTTTGTGAAATTAAATGTTCATTATTCATTCAAAGATTTGTTTAAATGATAAAAATGTGTATTTGTTGAATGCTGACGGCAAACGAGAAAGTATTATAATGTTTGCTTTTCTATTACTAATAATATTAAAGCAATCATTTTAATACTTTTTTGTATACAATTTAATTCCTTTGTTTAAATGTTCTATCTGATTATTAGATAGACTTCTATCCATATTAGACAGAACTGAACAATGACAGCGAACAAGAGGGAGAATGTGAGCGGTGTGCGCTCAGGCGCTGCCATTCTCAGTGCCGTCAAAATAAAAGTCCCCCCTCGCACACATCGGCCAAACAGAAAAACGTATCGGCCGATGCCGATATTTGAAAAATTCCAAATATCGGCCAATATATCGGCCTTGGCGATATATCGGTCGACCACTAATTGTAACACTAAAAATGTTGCAAACAAGAAAACTGTTTCAAAGTAAAAAAAATAATAATAATGCAATTCAAATACAATTAAAATGTTAAATTCAGTTACAATACTAAATAAAAGGGCTCAAGGATCTATGGCTGTCTTTTTCTACCTGTCCCTCTATAGGTAGATCTGGCCTTTCATTAAGGCTGAGGTCAGGGATCTTGGTGACCACTGGGTTACACTATTCAACAGAGAACCAGTGCTTTTTGAGCAACATGGCATAAGCAATTGATAATGTAGGAAACAGCAGACAACTGTACACAATCAATTGTATGAATGTACCGAAGCATTTGCTACTTGTTCATAAAGATGACAAATTGCTTTAATGATGAGCACAAGTGACTAGATGATGTGGAGGTTGAACATATAGTTTGAGAATTTTAGCTGTGATCTGAGAAATGTACCAAAGTGACTGAGAAATACTGGAAGTAAAAGGTGCAGTCAGTTATTCAACATGTCATAAAAACCTTGTAATGCATTCGTTTACATTTACATAAAAAAAAATTAACTATATTCCTTTTTTTAGATCAATTTCAGAAAGTATTTGATTTAGTAATGCTCTCATGACAACAAATGTTCACACATTATTCCCTGCTTTTCCTGCAGGTGCTAAACACTCTTTGGTTTCCCCTCATCTGCAAATAAGTTGTCCACAAATGACAACTGACCTTTTGCAAAAACAAGATGCACACATGCAATGTTCTTACACAGTGAAAATACATTGTAGAACAAAGCAGGTTACTTAGTATAAAACAAAGTGTCAGCTTAAAAATTGGGTCATTTTTAAGAAGTTCAAACACTAAATAGACCCACAGTTTGGTGACTCTAGAGCCACAGTTCAAGCAGCACGTGAACTGATCCATCATCTCTTTTAGTTACAGCACATGAATGAATATCAGAGGTTATGCTGTTTATGTTTGATGTTAAAAACCATGGGAGAACTGAAAGAGAAACCCTGGCTCTAAAATGTTAATTCTCTTCCGGGTTTTATGACTATTGGGCCAAAATATTTCTGCACCGATACAAATAAATAAATGTTTGTATGCATCTGCAAAAACATTTAGGCAAAAAAAATTTAAATAAATAAATAAGCAAATAATAATAATAATAAAGTGTGCTCGCCTTTCTCTTTTGAGGTGTAACTGTTTTTAAGTATAATTCTGTCAGATCGCCTGTCAATCAAACTTTGGCGAAACTCTAAAACTAAATATTACAACTCTACAATTAAACATTACAAATATTGTTTATGTTAGTTAAATTAGCCCAAAATA